CCCCCCTTCCCTCCTCCCCCAACCGGTCTCCTCTCCCTCGGGAGGATCCGCGGCGTCGCGTCTCGAATTACAAAGCACGCGCGAAGAAACTTATTACCCGCCTATCGACCGTCGAAATGTAATCCTCTTGCTCGTTTGCTTGAAAAATTGAACGAGGCACACAAACTCCCCTCGTCGCGCGTTGGCACTTCAAATCCTTTTTTTTTTCTTACGCTCGTATATTCCAGATTCTCGGAATATAAAGCGTTTAAATCTGAACACGTAATATAAATTCCGAACTCAACGCGGAATGAATCACAGTATTAACTTTTTTTTAAGTGAAGAAGGCAATTATTCGATGCGATTTTTTTTTTCTTTTTTTAGTACTTTATTCGTGCAAGCAACAATAAAATGTAAACGCGTCTAACGTAATGTGACAACGGTCCGGTTGTCACACATCACATCGCTTATCGCGGGTACCTCTATCCGCGCACAATCAGCGTCCGCAACACACACCATCGCCACGACGGTTGTCCCTCGACGCGGCCCTATATCCTAAGAATTCCAACCGACGGGAACACAGGACGCCGCCGCGCCGCGATCAGCGTAATTGCCGTTTCCGTTTCTGCAATCTGAATCGCCTCGCAACTTCAGAAGCGAAGATGCGGCTTGTTCTTGATCATATGCCTGTAAAGATAGAATTTACATGTAGATCACAGAGGTACTAATTAGCGATTAACGATTTTAAAATATGGGCTTTAAAAATATACAGACTTGACAGTAGGTACAAAACACCCTCAATTTGTCGCATTTTCTTGGAAAAGGCGATAATAAAAGCCAAAGGTAAGCCAAAATAATTAAAATTGTTATAAAAATATATTATTCAATAAAAATAAATTTTTCTTAATAAATCTGTTTAAATTATTTTTCGCTATATACAGATTGTTTACGTCCATTTGAGGATGCTTTATGCTTACGGCCAAGATTGTATATATATATATATATGTATTATTCATAAACTGATTAGAATTTAAAAATTGGAGTTATATTAAATTAAGAAAAATAATTGATCAGCTTAATTTCAGAATATAAGATTATTATATTAGAAAGATACGTGTGTGTACGTGATAATAAATTAAATTGACAAGGTACTCACTTATCGAGATGCTCCCAAAATATCATTAACGCCGCTCTGTCCAAGTGCCTTTTCGTCCGACTCAACTCGATCACTGTGACGGCCCATCGCGCTACGTTCGTGTCCAGCCTCATCTCATCGTATTTCAAGTGAAACGCGCATACTATGGAAGAAGGAACAATTACTTAGGCATTCAAAATACAGCACCAAGTTGCAAAATACAAAATCAAATGCGAGTTATAGTTTCCCCTTTTTGAGAAAGCTAAAGATTTACAGTAATATTTAGTGTAATATAATAAAGCGTCTAATTCATTATATTAGATTACGGCACATTAATTTCACAAAAAAAATGAGAAAAATCTAAAAAAAATTTAGTGAAAGTATGAATTACCAAAATAAAATCACATGCGCGAAAACTAATATTTTTATTAGATTTTTTTCGTACTTTTCGAAAAGATTTCCACCGGGTTGCCATCGAACGGCCAGCCCTTGAATTGCCATGCCGGTCCCATGACGAACACGGCGACGACTCTCTCCCAGTCGGCGTTGGTCAGTTTCTGTGGATTATCGACTACTCGATAAGGTACGGTCAGACCGCCTTCCTTCCGCCGTTGAAGAAGCACCTCGTTCTCCCGCTTGCAGCCCTGCGTCCGTTTGTCCTCATTGGTGACATACTTGAGATCCTGGAGGATGTCCTTGGCGTTGTACATGGTGATGAGGGACGTGTTGGCGCTGGGAATGATGATGATGGGCGTTCGACTGGGTCGCTTGTTCTGCGCGGCTTGCTGGGGCGTTAGTTTAGCGGCGGAGGTCGGCAGCAGGCCGGAGGTCGGCGTGGCGGACGGATTGGTCGGGGGTTTCCTCACGGCGGGATTCGTGCCCTCGGTCACGGACTTGAGCGTCATGCCGTGGTAGGTGCCCATGGTGTCGATCTTGAAGCCCTCCGTCTCCTCCTTCTGCCGGATGAAGCGCTCCTGATCGTAACGATTGTAGACGGCCGGCTGCGGCAGCGGTCGCATGGGCGTCGAGCGCGGCGTCACCATGGGCGCGGGCACGATCGGGCCCTTCTGCCTGCCCTCCTCGCGCGCCTTGATGCTCTGCAGAATCGCGAAGATGTTCTTGGCGAAGATCTTGCCGCTGCTCTGCAGGATGGTCGCGCGCGTCCGCCACTGGCGCTCGCGCGACACGATGTCCTTGGTGTCGTCCACGTCCATGTCGAGGATCACTCGCAGATCCGAGCCCATGCCGATGTCGTCGTTCTCCTTGATGGTCGTGCGCTTCTTCGCCAGACGTTTCGCCTTGATCGCGGCGATCTTCTCCACCGACATCGCCTCCGACAGGGACTTGATATTGTCGACGGTGACCGAGGCCTCCTTGGGAGCGTCGAGACGCGCGGCCAGCTGCTCCTTCACCTTCTGCACGTGGGTCTCCTCGAAGCGGGGCTTCTTCGACGAGCCGCTCTCCAGGCCATCCTCGGCAGCGCGTTTCACCTGCGTCGGGATCTCCAACGGCGCCGACTTGTCGATGGCGGACGACGTCGCGGTCTCGCCGTTGAGATAGGCCAGCAGGTCCTTCCTGTCGGGCCGGCGCACCACCGGGATATTCTCCGCGGCGGCTTGTCGCACGTACACCGGATGTGTAAGCTGAACATGTTTGAGCAGGAATAAGAGACACTCGAGCGTATAGTATTCCTTGGGTGTCCCTTCCTTTCCAGATCTAAAGCAAAAACGAGAAGAAATATAAGTATCCTTTAAAGAGACGAGATCTTTTTTGCAAAAAATATGAGACACTTTTATTATCATTAGGCTTATCAATTTTTATATATCTCTTTAAATATGTGGTACACTCGCGCTTTCAATATAAATTCCTTCATGCGAATTCATGTTCTGAATAAAGTATCACAATCTCGTTGTGATTTTAAATTCAACTGAGAGAGAAGACATAAGAAAATAAAAATTTTGTCCAATTTTAAAGCAAGAATCTAACTTTGATTTTGAATTAAACCGAGAGAGAGAGAGAGAGAGAGAGAGAAAGAGAGAAAGAGAAAGAGATAGTAGCAGCAGAGATAAAAACACAAGAAGATAATAACAATCTTGTATACTCAAGCTAGAGTAAACGTAAGTTCTATTAGGTTCGCAAGTAAAATAAAAATTGAGAGACACTCAAATCGGACAATATATATCGTAGAATGAAGATTTAAGAATCAATCTATAAAGTGTAGAGAAAAGAAATTGAATTTTGTTTATGACGTCGCAAAAAGATATACAAATCTCAGATTTCGGAGTCCCTCAGAAAAATTGGAGAAACGTTTCACAGACACAACGAGACACGTGATCCCCAGCACTCCCGCCTCTCGTCCACTTGGCAAAGGTATTTAATTGCATCTGGAATGCGTTTGTTTATCCATCGTCATTACACACCGTATTTCCCTCTCTCTCTCTCTCTCTCTCTCTCTCTCCTTTCTTTCTCTCCCGAGTATCGTGCTCTCGCTTCAGAGATGGCAGTGGAGCAGATTGCGACCGCGCGGAGCGATCCGACGAGGGACGCCGTATTTTTTTTTTTTTTTTTTTTTTTGACGGGCACTCACCCGTAAGTCAGATAATTGGTCTTCACGTTCTTCGGCCAGGAGAACTCGCCGAATATGATCTGGTTCTCGCGTTCGATTATCTCCTTCTTGTTGACATTATACTGCCGCAGCAGACTCAACGGATCCGCCATGGTCACGAAACTTAGCGAGACTAATCGTCGCGTTTCCCTCCTCCCTTCACCCGCGACTTCCGCCGGACGCGCAAATCGACCTTAGGGCCGACGCGCAACGGACGCGAGTATGAAGGTATTTTTTAATTTTTAATAAAAGTAAAACGTATAAACGTATTTTTGATTAAAAAAAAAAATACGTCCATTGGACTGCATTTGGCGTGTAAAAACGAAGATTTACTCAGAAATGAGTGTCTTACGTATTTTTATCAAAATTGAAAGTGGAAAAGAGTTTAAGTAAACATTTTCTTTATTTCTTTATTTCTCTATGTTTCTTCAGTGAAGAAAAAAAAACGGGAAGCTGAACCGTGCAAAAAATTCAGCTAAAAAAAGAAGAAATTTCCGAGACGAACGACGTGAAGCGCGCGCGCGCGCGCGACGTCGGCCGTCGCCGCGTGCGTTTGGGAACGCACCTCGAGTCACACTTCGGGTCATATGACTGACGTTACGTTGGGCGCCGAGCATCAGACGTGCTGTCGTAGGCGTTGACTCGACGACTCCTCCACACCGCGTCTCCGTGATCCCGAGCCCTCGCGAGCCCTCCGAGTATCCGTGTTTGGCAAGAGAATTGACCGGACGACACCATGGCTCTCAGCGACGCGGACGTTCAGAAGCAGGTGAGCGAGGATTGGGGGCCTCTCGCGTCCTCCTCCTTCGCGAGACACTCCTGCCTTCCTTCCCCGAGCTCGCTCTTCCTTCGGGCGTCGTGCTCTTTCGCGCTATTAATATCTTAACGATTGTTTAGCGTTACGCTAAAACGGCTACTGGTTTTCACTCAAGCATCCTCCTCGACGGCGGGGGGGATTTTACGCATCTTGCGCGAGTATCGGATTTCGTATAGCCACTGGAAACACCTCCTGCCAGGAGCCGAACGGAGCGGGAGTAAAATCCGAATTAATAAATGACCGCTCGCGAAACTTGGACGGCGAGGAGTTCTTCGATCGTTCATTTATAAATGAGTTTTAATGTCTGTGGAGTAAACTTTTAAAAATTGAGAAGTTGCAATGGTTGAAGCTCCTAGGTGGGACGTGACTTGGAGAACATATTTTCATTCGATTTATTGCGCATTCTTGAAAGGGAAAGAAGTATTTAGAAATTGTTTAGAGATATTAAGATTTGAATAGTTGATTATTAAATTATGTAAGAGGCTTATCTGAAGAAAGAGACGATATGATTATAGATCAAGCATATGATGGCCTTCATAGAACAAGAGGCCAATGAGAAGGCAGAGGAAATAGATGCCAAGGCGGAGGAAGAATTCAATATTGAGAAGGGACGTCTAGTGCAGCAGCAGCGTCTCAAGATCATGGAGTATTATGAGAAGAAGGAAAAGCAAGTTGAACTGCAAAAGAAGATGTAAGTATGAATAGCTTTTTCATCATATGTTTAATATTAATTTTAGTTATTTCGTTATATGTTTAATATTATTTATTTTATTTTATCATATGTGTGTGTGTAAACTGTTTGAAATTATAATTATAAGGATTAATTTTATTCATTAATTTTATTTTAAAAAATGATAAAACTGTCTAATATGTATTTGCATTTATAATTTTATGTCTACAGACAATCTTCAAACATGCTGAATCAAGCACGATTGAAGGCTCTGAAAGTGCGCGAAGATCATGTACGCAACGTCCTTGATGAGGCTAGAAAGAGATTAGGTGAAGTAGCTCATAATCCCACGCAATACAGAGAAATTCTCCAGCTGTTGATCATCCAGGGGCTTTATCAAGTAATATTTTTATCATTTTAATTACTCTGTTGCGTTATTTGTCAATTTTTCACTCTGTACAGCGCTCTGTAATTTATATCTTTACAGCTAACAGAGACAAACATTACTCTTCGTGTTCGTCAAGTCGATGTACCTCTCGTAGAGTCCCTCATCGACAGCGTTCAGCAGCAATATAAGCAGAAAACCAAGAAAGACGTCACCCTGAAGATCGATACCGATAATTTCTTACCCTCAGAAAGTTGTGGAGGTGTGGAATTATTAGCATCCAAAGGTAATTATACCGAAATATTTTTCGTTGTGCCGTAAAATTATTAATCGTTATCCTGCGAAAAATATGTAAGAATTATTTGTAATATATCACGCAAAATTTTAGCGAAATCTGAATTACAACTTTGATTTTAGTAAAATAATAATAGAGCCTTGACCAGAATAAATATAGTCAGTTTAATTAATACTGTGTATAAAATTATTTTAATAATTAATTTCATTTCTGATTCACAGGGCGCATAAAGATTAGCAATACTTTGGAGACCAGATTAGAGCTGATAGCGCAACAATTGATACCCGAGATCCGTTCCGCTCTGTTCGGGAAAAATTTAAATCGCAAGTTTAACGATTAAGCTAGTTTCCTTCGACAATTGATATTGATTGACTCTCCAAAACATTCCTTTTAACAGCAAATTACTATCGCATTAATCATGTATTATATAGAATAAAATTAGCATACGACACGCCTTTTGTCGAGACTCATGCCTAATATTTTCAATGAAAGTATATTCTGAATGAATTGCCGTGCAATATTTATCGTTGAAAGAGTCGCGAGCGAACTGTACATTATACTCTTCAGTCTTCACACACAAAAAACAAAAAAGGTCCTTTATTATTCTATCCCCTTCTGACAGACGATAAAATGGACGTAAAAGTGATTAATTATTTCACGATATATTCGATGTGTATCTATACTTAAAATTGCCGTTGAAAATTGGTGTTCACAAACGAGACAAAGTGTACTTTCTCAGGTTAGGAATGTTAACGCGGACGAGATATGTATAATTAATAATTAATGTGTTTTCTTGACTGCTTACGTTAAAAAAAGAAGAATAGCAATTGCAATTGAATGTAGTACAGTCAATATATTGTGCAGAATAATAAACAGAAGTATTGAGTGCGCTTTATATGTATATAAGTACAATACATTTATATACCTATAGAGCATATCAGTAATGTTATGTACATTATGTATAATATATATAATAATGTATCACAATAAATATATGATTCGTTGTTGTTGTAAAAATATCTTGAGGAATTTTAATTCTTACAAAACTAATATGTCGTCTCAATAAATATAATTGTAGATGACAAACGCAGAAAGGTAAACAATTACATGATCTTTAATCAAATACATATATTCTTGTAAGACTAACAATTAATAATAAAAAATACTCAGTAATATATGAATGTTAATAATTGTTTATTTATACATGAAGATAAAAGCACTTTTAGAGAAATAAAATAATTTAATGTTTAAAATCATATTGCATGCAATTCTATTAAAAGTGCAATTTGATTTCGAAAGGTGATTTATAGTGCTTGTAGTTTATACATCTGAGATTTTGCGTACGCAAATGGCGATTCATAATATTTATATTTATATTATTTATTTTTAATTTATACTTCATTAGCTAGGCAAGACATGATGATATTTACACGTGCTTATAAAATATAACATGCACAGTACAGAGACAGATATATTTATAATACAGAATATAAATAATGCACGTAAAAATGTATAAAAAGAATTAGACTATCCTTTTTCATTACGTAGAGATACGAAGATCGACGCATGCCTCTTCTTCGAGATCTAAGGACTCTGGAGTGTCAGTCGGACTGATCTGTTCTCCGTCAAAGTAAAGTTTCAGATTACTTTCCGTAATGCCGAGTTGCTCGGCGCATTTAGCGAATAGTGTCTTGAAGTGTTCGTCCTTCCTAAGCGGGATAGTCAAGGACTGTTTTTTGTTCGCCGTTTGCACCTTAATGGTACACACGTCCTCATCGTTGCTCTTGTCCTTGGATAATGTGTTCATGCCTGGATTCACTATCCCACCGTCTGCAAGTAAGCGTTGCATTATTGGCTGCGTTCAGAAGATACAACGATCGGAGAAGCCATCCACAAGGCAAGAATTAAAATAAATAAGTAATAGACAGAAGACACAACGATTGAGTGACTACTATTGGTATACTTTGTTATTATATATATTTTTCTTCTTCTAGATTTATCATGGTTCTAAAGGTCCGCTCCAATCACAAGTAACAATTACTGAGCGCTCATTCAACCGTCTTGTGTCTTCTGAACGTATTGCTGTAAAATCAACGTGACTAATTTATACCCACCGAGTATATCTATGATGGAAAGTTTGAGCGACGCAGGCGTATCAGTGTGGTTGACAATTTTATCCTTTTTCATGATTAGAACCTCGTTGATGGAAACTTTTTCCAAGTCGGCGTAATGTTGGAAAATTCTTTTGAAATTGTCATGCTGCAATAAGTGTGAAAAAGAATATAATATCGAATAAGACGATAAAAACAATTTATACAAAACTGCGATTTGCCACGTTATTAGCTAACGATCGATACGTACTCTACGCATATTTAAACGATCAATCCTATTCGATCTCCAATGCACTTTTATATTTATCTCATAGTTGTCATCTTCCAAGCATAAAAATTCATCTTCCATGCATAAAAATTCATCTTCGGCTTCATCATCTGACAATGCGATTATATCGTTCGTACGAGGTTCGGGCATTTCGTGCCGCACGAATTCCACATCGTAATCTGGCTCAGCAGGAACATGCTGAAACATTGACAGTAAAAACTATGTACTATCTTTTTGAATTAAACATCAACATATTAATATAATATATCTTTATCTTGAAAACAATATAAACTGTGGACTATGAGCCATTTTTATTATTTTATTGAACCTTTCTTTTATTTATTATATTAATATAAACTGTATTTTGGAAGCTCCATCAAAGTAATTATCAAAATTCGATCTATTTTCAAGATAAATAATACATGCATTTACATATATATTTAAAAAAAATCATTTACATTTTAAAAAAATATAAAAAAAATTACCCTTCCCCTAGTTCGCCTACTGACAGTAGTCGCCCTAGTAGTATTTTTTGTATTCCTTGTATTTCTTACCGTCCTACTTCGTGTTTGTATAACATTACTTATTTCCTCATTATCTATACATATATCCTCATCACTTATTTCATCATTGTTCATATCTTTACCGTTCA